GAGGGGAGCCCACCCCCATTTTTCACCAACATTGCCAAGGGTGGAAATACCCCCCGTAGACCCCCCCCGAAGGGGGGGGGGGGGGGGGAGTCACTCGCGTTTCTAAGCACGCGACGGTGAAGGAGGGGTGTGATGTGATGATCGTGACTATTTCGCGTTGCCCCTTCGTCCTGCTGCCACGCCCTTGCTCCAATGAATCCAATCACCGCATTTACGACATCACATCGGGAACGAAGACGGAGCCTGGTTCGAGAGAGAGCGAGGCCGCCGCCAACGAGCAGGCGCTGCGGTGCATGCGCTCTCTGATGCCGATGGGCGTGACCGGCCTCACGGTATCACAGTTAGAGCGGCGTGCCATCGATGAGGGTTCGCTGTATCCGCGGGGTGCGGATACAGCACAACCCCATCGACGGCGCGCTGCCCCTGCTGTTACACCGTAAGAACCATCACGTCCACCGGCATGGGCGAGCGCATTCACTGCAGCGCCTGCTCGTTGGCGGCGGCCTCTCGCTCGAACCAGGCCGTATCTTCGTCCGAGACGTGCTGTTACATATTCTACATGGATTGACAGGATTAATTCCAAGAAATTAAGAAGCACGGGGTGGTTGTACAAGGTTGAATCAACCAGCAACAAGGTCGTGCATTGCGGAAAAGGGGCGCTTGATTAAACGATTGAGGGCAGGGCAGTGCGGTATGACATCAAGGGAATAAACCATCACGTCCGGCAACTCGCACAGCAGCAAGAGCAGCACCAGCACCAGCACCAGCAACAGGGGCAGCACTAGCTGCGACAAAACGCCTGGTTGTGGATTATAACAATAGAAAAACAATAAAGATGCAAGAGCGAAAATGTCGCTAATTTGCGTGCATAGCTCATATTCGTGGACATATGGAGCCCTCTACACTCGGTGAGCGGAGAGTCCGGAGTGTGGGGGCTACAATGACCTGCCACCGGAGGCTGGCTATTTCTTTTAGTGCGATGTGGCCAGGAATGCCAAGCGTGACCGAGCGAACTCAAGCAAGCTAGGGTGGCGCGGAGAGTGGGCGAGCCTTCGTGGACTCATTTTCCCATCGTCCTAAAGATTCATCAACCTTTCGCAACTGAGCGGCATCGCAAGAGTCATGGACCCTTGGGAAGAACAGTGATATTTTATCACATACCTAGCCCCCCTTTTTCTTCGCCGAAAGCTCAGCTTGTCGAAGTTGGGTTTTGGCGCACATTCATGTTCGAATGTTAATTGTAGTGGTGCAACAAACCATGGGAAAGAAAACGAATGCACAAGGCGCACGTTGTTGCTAAACTTGCAACCAATAAACTCGCACTCTCGTTCGTTGTAGTGCTGTCCGGTTTGGTACTGCCAGCAAATGAGACCATGTTAGCAGACTGGCCCGATGG